CGTTGTATTTAACTACAACTATAACGATAGTTGTGACAGGTTTTAACCGATATATGATTGTGCCCACACAATTCATCATACAATTTATTAGTCTTCCGTCATATTTTTCTATCTGTATTTTTAGTATGATTATATATATAACACCCACAACACACACACACACACACACACACACACACACACACACACACACACACACGCGCGCGCACGCACGCACGCACGCACGCACACACATACACACACACACACACACACACAGTATAACACGTATGTCATAATACAATGAATACAATTTGTATGAAGATTTTTCCATGTCGACGTAAACATTCAATCGTCACTTCCAAGATATTACAGGTATATTTTTCTGTTTCATTTACATTATTAATATATTGAGGATTTGTATGCATACACAAATTTTGGATAAATTGTTATTGCTTCTTTTGTAATGAATGTACGAAGAAGTGAAATAAAAATATGTTAGTCGATGGTATTCCTTCATAGTAAAATAAACATAAACCAAATATCAAGCGACGCGGTAGTGTTGTGATATCAAATACATACAGAAGAGTATGTAGAGTATCCGAGAATGATAGATCCGAGAATGTGATTATGTTTTTGGTATGATGATCGCGACGTTACAAACTTTTTCCGGAGTTTCAGCGATGATCGGACTTACAACTAAAATATCTCGGGAGACAAAAGCGTGATCTACATTTAATAGCATTCCTGACAGAAATGTTAATATAAACTTTCAATTACGACCAATTTGATAAAAATTAGTGCAGTAAATCTTGAGACCTTGAACTTTTATAACTTCAAATACAAATTTTCAGCGGTCGGATTCTTCTTCACCTAAGTAGGAATCATATACGTTTCGCCAGTACGGAAAAATGGCTCGATACTGGGTCGATACCGAAAAGCGGATGTCCGGTTTTAGTACTTGCTCAATATTGGGCCTAATATAAAAAAGTTGTATTATTGGTATTGGCTCCGTACTAAGGTTAGGTACTGAATAGTCGTACCGTACATGTATTGGAGTATTACCGAAAAGTATTTGTCGTTTTCGGTACTGGCCCAG